ACACTTCAAAGTCGTCTAATTAAATCCATAAAAAAGCTGCTAATACTCTGTCATGTGTGTTTAATTCCAAGTTTACAATGAACCAAGTGTTTACTGCCGAAGAAGAGACTCTATTGAACAAATAAATTGTGAAGTGTTCTAAAATGCATTATGGGTTGACAATCATACAAGTTTGAAGACTGGCATACAAATATGCTAATGTAAATCAACTAAAATATCCACCTAGCTGCAATCATAACAAAATGGCTAGAAAAGAATGGCTTGACAGTTACCGTAGATGTAATGCAAATTTAAGTTTAAGGAAGCCTGAAAGCACCAGCGCAGCATGTTCTTTTAGATTCAACAAGACAGCCGTTACTGATTTCTATGCTAACTTACTGATTTCTATGCTAACGTTACTGATTTCTATGCTAACCATATTTTAATGCGGTAGTGGTGTAGTGGTAGAGCACTCGCTTCATAAACGAGTAGTTCCGAGTTCGATCCCCACCACGTCCCTGGTAGTACCGCGCTCAACTCGTTTCTCCGCGCAGCGGCCTTGTTCGTCAAGGTTCGTGTTTCGGAGTTATAGAGTTGAGAGAGGGTTATAGCCACAAATAAGTAGCCTCCTCGTCTGTAGTGGCCTTCTCAGCCTTGAGGAGGTGAATTAAAATTAAAAAAAAAAAAAAAAACTTAGAAAAGAATTTGAGAAAGTATGCATTGTTTGCAGATAGAATTTATAATTTTGATGAGTCAGGGGTGTCTACAGTGATGACTACGCCAAAGGTGTTGACACAAAAAAACCTAAAACAAATTGGTCAGCTTGTTTTGGATGAAAGGGGAGAACTAGTAACATTTGGGGGAGTTGTATCAGCTAGTGGTAACACAATACCACTGTTATTTATATTTCCCAGAGTACATTTTAAGGAACGCTCTATGGAGGGTGGTCCAGAAGCCAGCCTAGGAATGGCTACTAAGAGTGAATGGATTAATTCTAGTATATTTTTGGAAGACTTAAAACACATTAAATTAAAATGTTACTCTAAAGAGAACCCTCTTCTGCTCCTCATTGACAATCATGAAAGCCATGTGACAATAGAAGCAGTGGACTATGCTCGTGATGATGGCATTATTCGTTTCCTCCTCACACAACTCACCGTCTCTAACCTTTAGATGTGGGAGTATTAGGGCCTTTTAAGACCAAGCTAAAAGTTGCATTTAATGATTAGCATGTGAATAATCCGAGAAAAACCCTTAATATATACAATATTCCGAAACTGGTCAAAATTGCCTATTTTGAATCATTTAATAGCAAAAATATTTTTAAAAAGACTGAAATATGGCCATTTTATAAATCAAATTTCAGTGACAAAGAATTTGCTGCTGTGCAAGTTTACCAATCCGATTCTTTAGCAGTCACAGTCACACAACAAATTGCACCTGAAGAAATAATTCTTACTCAACAAAATTTGACAAGTGCGCTTCCTGCATTGCCATCTACATCTTCTGTGGGATTAATATCTCCAGAAATAGTAGAAAACACAACATTACCATGTACATCATCTGTGGAATTATTAACTCCAGAAATTATCCGACCGTACCCTAAAGCAAACAGGAACGGACCTAATAAAAAGAAGAAAGAAAAACTAATAGGAAAATCAAGGATATATACAGATACTCTTGAAAAAAACAGACTGCTAAATTTAGAAAGTTCAAAAGAGATGAAGAAACAAGAGCAAGAGAGAAAAAAAAACGGATAAGGAGTTGAAATGAAAGTTTAAACGTGTATTAAATTTACAAACAGACACAAATATAAAAACCAAACCAAAGAAACAGAAAAAAACAATAGAGACTGATAGCAAAGATGAAACTGATTTAAATTTAAGAGAAAGTTCTTGTTCACCCTTTGAAGAGGTGATAGATTCTTTATCTGATATTGAGAACAAATTTCCAGTTAAGCAGGAAAATATTGAAGAAAAAACTTTTGTGTTAGTAAAATTTGATAAGATAAAGACCATTTTACATTATATTGGACAGGTTGTAACCAGGTACAACCCCATGGAATACAAAGTTTCATTTCTGAGAAAGAAGCCGGGTACTTGGAGATTTGTTTTTTCTAATAACAAAGATGAAGGGATGGTTTACTTATCTGATGTGGTTTGTGTATTGCCGCCACCCAAGTGAGTTTCTACAGCAATAACAGCCAATATATTCATATTTAAAAAATTTTTTACAATGCATAATGTGCAATAGTAGATCCGTTATGTAAAACAATATTGTTGATTATTAATTGTTAAAAGTTTATTCTGTTTCAATTTCAATCGTTATAAATGTTCGTTTTCCTATAAATAGTTATGTACGAATGTACCCTACTCTATATGCGAAGCTACCCCGCACATGGGGTGCTTTCATACAATTTCCATTTTCTGGGAATATTGTTATAGCTTTGCCATTTTACTTTGTACCAATACCGACCTAAAAAAATATTGAAGGCAGATATTTAAATAATTCAACAGCATTGAAAGTTTTTTAAAATTGCTATTGGTTTTGCTTTAAAATGACTTAGAGTAAAAAGTGTACGAATCCTACCTGCTCTCCCCTAGTTTTAATTTATTACATAGAACAAATTTAGGGGGTCCCATCAGATATTTTCAAAAAATGTTGTTTTTAGAACCACCCTATTTTAGATATCTTATCAAGTAATGTTTAAAGGATCTATTTGTGTATTGGTAAACTAATTGCTTTGAAAACCTATTGAGTTTTACACAATTGATCTAATGATGTATAAAATTGACTGCAAAAAAATAAATAATACGAGTAGTTGATTTGAAAATCCTATCATCTGATCCAAAAAGAAACTGGAGTTCTTTTTACCACAGTATTCTCAATTGTTTAAAAGCTGATTGGAAGCACTGCGAGTGGACTAGCAGAAGACAAAAATTCAAGACCACCAGTGCAATTGATTGCAACATCATTAATGTAAAGAAAAATCCATTTGTTTTGGCAACTAAACTAGCTTTAAAAGTTTAAGAAGATCGCAACATCACAGTGATTCCTCAATTAATTAAACATCACCATGACTCCTCAATTAATTAGACATCACAGTGACTCCTCAATTAATTAGACATCACAGTGAATCCTCAATTAATTAGAAATTGTATTAGAGAACAAAGTTATAGGGTAAGTAGTTTAAAAAAAAAAACTTTTTTAACTGTAAAACAAATGAAATGTTGATTGAATTCTGCAAATTCGAAAAAAAATTTGATAACTTATTGGAAAAAAATTTTTTTGTCAGATGAGTAAAAATACAACCTCGTCTGATCGGATGGTGCCTATAAAGTGTGACGAAAAAAAAGAGAAGCTAATAAATTGAGTTCCTTGCAAGGTAAAACATGTAAAACATTGAGAAAGAAATGCGATGGTTTGGCGGTAGTATGAGTTGGAAAGGAATGGGGATATTGACATTAATTGATGACAAAATGGATGCTTCAATACATACATGATGCTTCATACAAGTAAGAAAACAAAACTATGCTTTGATACAAATAACATCAATATTTTGAAATGTTTTCTTACAAAACTATACTTTGAACAAATAACATCATTTTTCAGAATCTCAAATTCTGACTTAAATCCAAATGAAAATTTGTATTATATTTTAGACAGAAAAGTTAACATTTAGATGCAAAAATGACTTAAAAGAAGCTATAATAAATGCATGGAATAATATAAAAACAGAAGAGACCCAAAATTAGGTCAACTCAATGCCAATTCATTTAGCTGAGGCCATTGAGGCTAAAAGAAGGCCCACCCGATACTAATTTCCATGAATTTTGATGAATTAGACATTACTTTTGAATTGTACAGTAATATTTTTTATCGTACCTTTTTAATTAAATTATTAAATTTCTATCATACAAAAGATATAATATTTAAAAAAACTATATTTTTTTTTTACAAAATCTTGTAATTTTTATTTATTATTTTAGTTATTACTTAGTTAACAGTTATAGAAGCAAAGTATTCTCTACCAAAGTAAAAGAAGAGCAATTTTTTAAGTACACAAAAGTTTTACATTTTAACATAAAAAGTTTTTTTTTGTTGTTGTTGTTGTTGTTGAAATGCAACTATTATTCATTTTAATTCAAGTTTATCCAATCAAAATTTAAATTGATGGTTATTTGTTCAGAGATGATAATTTTAGTGGCCTACAGTTAATAAAACTTTGTGTAGGTCAAAGAAGATTGTAGTAGCTAAAAACTAAAACAAACAGTTGTTTTTTCAGCCACAAGTTTAAAATATTTAAATTTAAAAACGTATTTGCATTTAGGACTTGAAACAATAAGATTGTAGTCTATTATAATAGATAAAGCAAAATCGAGTTACTGATACTAATTATCTTATATTTTTAATATATGTTCATTCATATTTTTATTATATTTTATTTATATCATTTTTTTATTTGTGTATATATGTAGTAACTTTTTATAAATTTTATATTTATTTGATTCATTAAATTTAAATTTTTTTAATTTGGTGTTTATAAATACAATGCCAAGTGTGTACTTTATTGTAAAGTAGATATTTTTGTTTCACAGGATATTAAATTCAGTGTATATTTTGTAATATATACTTCCCCTATCCAAAAGTTGAATCAGGGGCGATAAACTAAATATTTAACTTTATTTGTTTTTAATTTATTTAAATTTTTTTACTAAACTAAACAAACTTTTTTAATCTTGCTCAATGAACACTATATAACATTAAATAAATTGGTTCTTGGAGTCTAGTACTGGCTTTATAGCTATAAATATCAAAAAAATTGAGTCAAACAACTTTGATTTAAACTCTAATTTAAATGTGTAACTATTGTGTGCATATATGTGAGTGTAAAAAAATTTAAGTATTTTTTGGGGGAAGTTTTTTATAAAACAAATTTATTTTAATTTATTTTATCATACAGTACAACTAAATGTTGAAAAATTATTTTTTTGTTTAAAGTTAAAAGTTGTTTATTAAAGGAACTCACAGTATTGTTGGAGCTACAATTGGGTACGCTTTGGTGGCTCTTGGTAAATCAGGAATTATATGGATAGAGTTAGGAAAAATAGGTATACTTTTTTTTTTTTTTTTTTGCATCAGGTTTGTTAGAAAATTTGAGTAGATTACACTGATAGATCTAGTCAGAAAGAACCTGACTATTTTTTTGCTTACAGGTAATTTTCAAATTAATGAATAATAATTAGAAGAATCAAAATTGAAGGATTGCTTAAGTAATTCATCTGATAATGAAACACAATTTTTTTTTTATAGCTGCATCTTGGGTAATATCTCCACTTCTTTCTGGCATTATTTCAAGTCTTATATTTACTGGGATTGATAAGTTTATTCTTAAGAGTGTGAGTCTCAAAATTTTGAATTGCTTTTAATTAGTTTATAGTTGTTTTTTTTGTTAATTTATTCTAAGTTGTCTTTACTTCTAAAGAATGGAAATTTTAATAATATATTTATTAATAATCTATTAGAATTTAGTTTTATTGATATATTTTGTTTATCATAGTTTTTGTTAATTATGGTTTGTTATTTTACTGGCGTAATGTTATTTATTTGGGATTATTTTAGTGAGCATAATCATGATATATTATTTATTATTTTACAATTTATCACCATAGATAGCAGCTAGTTTTTAAATAACAAAGTTATTTAAAAACTAGCTGATAAAACTTTTATTGTAAGTTAAACAACATTTATAACATATAAAGTACCTAAAGACAAATGACAGATATAGCTACATAACAATAGTTATACTTACATAATATATTTACAAAGATATAATATTTACAAAGAGTTTAATTTTACCATATCTGTGGTAGAATTAAACTTTTTACATTTAAAATTATAGACTTTAGAGAGTTCTATCAACATCTTTTAAAGAAATGAAAGGTATTAAACTAATTTTTTTTAAAGAAAAAAAAGGAAATTTTAAATGCTTTAGTTTTCATTTAAGTAGTAAAGAAAGAATTATAAGAGCTAAGAATAATAAGTTAAGAAAAAAACTTAAATAGCATAATCTAAAGTAAAGCAACTTATTTAAAACATTTTCAGGTTTTGCAATAAATTAAATAAACATGTTACAATAAAATATTAATTTTATTAAAAATTTTTAATTTATATATTAATTTTTTTAATTATCAGTTTTAATTATCTTAAAATTTTTTAATTATCAGTTTTAATTATTTAAACTTTACTTTATATTTTAAAACTTTAAACAACATGCAAATTTATTTATTATTGAGTGAATTCTTATTTTGACGACATAAATATGTTTTAATAACTTAAAATAATACCATGTGTATGTAGCAACTTAAAATTACTTAAAATAATACCATGTGTATGTATTTCACATTTCTCTTTAAGGAAGTTACACATTTACACAGGAAGTTATAACATGTTTAAAATTTGTAAAAGCTTATAAATACCATATTTTTTATGTTTTGCAAATTTATTTTTGTCATGCAGGCTGATCCGTTGATAAGTGGCTTGTTTTCTCTACCATTTATGTTAGGAGCAACATTACTAATTAATCTCTTTTCAATAGTATACAGCAATTCTGATGGTGGGTCTTTTTTCTTGAAGTGACAATGCAAAATGTTAATTGTGTCATATATATATATATATATATATATATATATATATATATATATATATATATATATATATATATATATATATATATATATATATATATATATATATATATATATATATAATTTATATTTTAAACACATTTAGCTTTTGGATTAAAAATGTTTTGCTGGTGGCATATTCTTCTAATGTGCCTAGGAGTTGCATTACTATGTGCTATTTTGGTGAGAGTGTTTTTCAATCCATGGTTAAAACGGAAAATAATTTCAGCTGATGAAGCTAAAGCATCATGTAAGTTTTTTTAAGTAGACCTCAGTTATCAGTAAACTTGCAACTATATTACACATCCTTGCTTATCAGTCAATGTGTGAGTTTGCCCCTATATTACATTTTAGTATTATTATGAATAAACTGTTTCAAATTTTCCAACACAGTAATTTAGTTTTTGCTTTGATTCTTATTTTTTTATTATTGTTTTTTTTTAATTTTTTTTTTATTATTTTTATCTGATAAGATCAATTTACAAATACTAAAGAAAAAGTTTTGTTTGACAATTCTGGTGTTGAACTGACATTTGCTGGTAGTAAAGAACGATCTCATTCCACACGTTCAGTTGTTAGTTATGTTGCTGATATAATGGTTCAGCCCAAGGAAACAGAACAATTGAATCATGATGATCCATGTTCTGCACAGCTGTTTAAGTATCTTCAAATTTTAACAGCCACATTTGGTTCCTTTGCACATGGTGGAAATGATGTTAGGTGAGTTGTAATGTATTTTTTATTTTAAAAATTGCTAAAATCTAGTTGCAGAACAACTGTAACTATTTTATAAAAAAATGGAGAAAACTGGAAACCCCTCTGGTTTATATTGGGTTAAGATAATAGTAGAAGTGTTTACCTAGAAAAAAATGACAATTTAATTTAAATTAACCGTTTGTAGGAAATGAAAAAAAATGGCAAATAAGTGTTGTTAGGAAATAAAAATTTAATGGCAGCTTGATTTAATTGTTAATAGGAAATATAAAAAAAGTTAAAAAACAAAAAGTCAAGTTAAAAAGATATAAAAAAGTTGTAGGTAATTTATATGATTCAGGTAAACATGAAAATAAAAGAGAATTCTGTAGCACTGATGCAAGTGTCACATGAGGGAGGGGGGGGGGTGCCAATATAACTTTTCCGACTAAAAAAAAGATCCTCGTTTTTAAAAATTTGACAACTGCCTAGTCGACATTTGCCAACTAACTTTTCTAAAAGGATCAAATTTGCCAACTAAATGAATGAAAAAATCATCGATGTGTGTGTGTGTGGGGGGGGTGCCCCCTCCCATTGCACTATTAATTCAAAAACCTCCTTCGATCAAATGCAAGTTTATCATGAAATGTCAAGACCAAATTCAAAACCATTCATTGATTTTATTTTGGATATCAAATTTTAAACATTTCTGATGCTAACTTATTAAACCATTAAGTTTATATTTCAAATGTTCAATTTTTTCAGTTTTTAAAAAATGTTTATCATTTTTTTTACATAAATTTTTTGTTTAGTTTAATTTAAAAAATTAGGGCAATTCTTTAATAAAAAAATACATTTTAAAGTCAAAATATGAAGCACTGCTATAATTTGAGAAAGAAATAATATAAAAAAGTGTTGCATTTTTTTGATGTTTTACCAAATGCTTTTTATATCTGGAAAAATAATAATGACATAATCTTTGGCGCTTCTTTTCGAGGTATTTAAGCAAAAAGATTGAAAGTTGATATGTTTTATCAAGTCAACAAAGTCTAGAAAGCTGTAGTCAAATGTTTCATAAAAATGAGAACTGGAAATGAATAAGTGGTTGTTATTAGTTGGTAAAAATAAATAGCTTTATATTTTGCAACCATATTCAAAAATTTCAATAGATAGCTAGAAAAAATAGGTTTGCTTTGTACGATTACTTTTTATCCGTTTTTTATTTATTTTTTGACAAGATGCGAATTGTGTTGTAAGTAAATTGGTTTTTTTCCTGCAAATATTACCATGTTCAAAAGTAGAATAAATGACTTGGGCTCAAATGAGTTCAAATGAAAGTCTTATTGCTGTATTTTTCTTTTTTTTTGAATTTTAAATTTGTCCATTTTAGAAAAATTGAAACATTAGTTTTGATGATAATGCTATGAAAACATATTATAACACTTTTACATTACTTTTGTCGACCCTGCAATAAACTAAATTTAATAAAAAAAATAATTTTTCATTATTTTTAGTCATAACATTGTATGTTTATAAAATGTTTTTTTGGGCTTTGTACTTTCTGATCAATTAATTTATAGAAAGTTTAATGTTTTTATGTTTATTTTTTTCTAGCAATGCGATTGGTCCTCTTATATCTTTATGGTTAATTTATGAAACTGGAAAAGTTTCGGGAAAAGCACAAACGCCTATTTGGATTCTACTTTTTGGAGGTGTGGGTATTGTTATTGGTCTATGTGTATGGGGTAGACGTGTAATTAAAACAATTGGTGAAAATCTGACGCCAATTACTCCATCGAGGTATACTTTTTACTTTTAAAGTTACTTATCGTTTTATATTTAAAGTTTATGATTTTTATTTTTTTTTAATTTATTAGTTAAAATAAACAGAATTTCAATTCTAAACATTTCTCAGTTTTACTAAATTAATATTTTAAATTATTTAATTAAAAGTTTTTTAAATTAATAAATTTGAATTAATTAAATCATAAAGTTTTTATTATCTTTATATTTTTTTAAATTTACAGCGGCTTTGCAATAGAGATAGGGTCAGCTCTAACGGTGCTTCTTGCATCAAATCTTGGTATTCCTATCTCTACCACACATTGTAAAGTTGGCTCGATTGTTATGGTCGGTCGCGTCAGGTCTAGAGAAGTTGTTGATTGGTCATTGTTTGGAGGTATTGTTATTTCCTGGATAGTAACAATGCCAATAACAGGTATGATTTTGTGAAAGATGTTGTATGATTGATTAAAATTTGATTTTATTAGGTCGGCATAAAAAATATTTTTTCTTGTTTCAGGCGGAATTTCTGCTGGAGTTTTTGCAATAGTTCGTGCTGCAATAAAATAAAATTGAAAAATATTTTACATACTATTATTTTTATATTTTTGCACTATTTAACGGAGAACGATTAATGGTGGACGGTTATTTAGCGTGTATACATACCTGTACATTTTTTACTATAAGCAAAATGCCAAAATAAACTTATATACACTGTTTTTATTCTGTATTAATTATTCTGTCTTTAATATGCATTAATATCAGGCTAGTACATCTAAAAATTTATTATTAAAAAAGAACCAATACTTCTATAGAAGTAATTTAGTTCTTTTTTAATAAATAGAATAAATAGTCCAGAAGACCAGAAAGTAGTTTTTAAAGTTGCTAAATATATACTATTTTTTTATTATATTTATATAGACTATATATATATAAACATATATTGAGTCTATTATTTAGAGGTACTACGTTACTAATTTAACAAACTCTTATATCATTATAACTTATAAAAAAAGATTTAGTTCATCAAAAATCAGACTGCGTCTCATTCATAGATAAAATTGAAACAGAAGTGGTCTTAATATAGATCCTTGTAATACCCCACAAGTTGTATTTATAAACCAACAAAAGATATATTTTTAGATAAATATTAGATGAGAGAAAAATCTTTAATTCATTTGAAAGTTTTTAGTTTATCAAATTCAAGAGGAAGTACAATATTTTAAACAGAAATAGCGGAAAGGTAAAGTATAATTTTATCAAATGTCGTCATTAGTCGAATGTTTAGGATAATTTATCATCAGTTAAAGTTAAACAATGAATGTTGAAAAATCATAACAAGTTTGATACTTCAAGAATAAAGTAAACTAATAGGCTTTAATACATTTATTGCCTAATTTTAAAATCAAAAACTATTTTTAATGTCAAAACTCATGATAAATATACATAAAGCCATTAATGAATTAAAAAGTAAAACATATATGGGTATTCGTCTACGTGGTAGGTTTAATTTTCTACGCGTCAAAAATTGTTTTTTTCAAGTAACCCAGTGGGCATGCGTCGTCTGGGGAACGTCCGGCGTACGTCCCTCGGACAACGCGTACCCACTGAGAAACGACAACAGACACAGCATTTCCTGTGGGCTTCTAGACGTTCATTGACGTCTGAAATGAAACAACCAATGTCCATGTATTTCATGCATCCCGTAAACATCCATGAACGTTTAAAGATTTTACGAAGTGAAATCTGGAATGAATTTTTTTAGAAAGTACTTATACGTAATAAAAATAACCATATACTACGGAATAATTTACAAACATTTAACAGCGCACAGTGGGCCAAAATCATTATTAGCTGGACAAAATTAATAACTTTTAAAATATTTATCAGGTTTTTCCCATAATTAGCAGCTTGAGTATATTTCATATAACAAATCTAATGGCACCATTAGATTGTTTATTTGGTTGCCATGGATACCTATATTTCATGTCAACAGGCATTTTGCATAGTTACCTAAATAAAAAGACTTTCTCAAAATATCAAAGTTATAAACTAAACTGATATTAATGCTACATTGCTATTTTATGTATTTGAATGATAACACAAACAAAAAATTATCAATTTTTGGTGTTACTATGCTGTTATGTGCTCTTAGAAACCAGTTGGTAATTTTTTTTGAAACTTTTTCTTAATTCAAAATTTCTTTAAAAAATGAAATAAAAACTTTTAAAATACTCTTAACTATAAAGGTTTACAGGAACAGTTAATTAAATTTTAACTGTGTAGTTTAGATACCCTTAGCAACCATATAAAAATAAGCAAGTTTTTATGCAATTAGAGATACAATAAATTTTATAACGAATATATAAGAAAACAAACTTTTATATTCATTATTTTATTATGTAAATATTAAATACTTATAAAGTAAACACCATCTTAAACACCAACGAAAATCAAAACTATGTCATTGACACTTTGTCAAAAATTGGAACTTCTTTAAGAAGATCAAAAACTCCATTTGGAAGAGCGTTTTTCTTAGGATGATGGGGTTTTCTCAAACTACTTATCAAAGGGTCAGAAGAACACATTAGTTGCCTTAATAAATCTTCGTTTGTTTTGGAACGCGAACACTTTCTAGAAAATGATTCTCGAAATTTCTTAAAATTTTTATTTTGAGCTTCTTGTGCCTCTTCGCTGAGCATGCCAATAGGCAAAGCCATTCTCTCTACAACTTGCCAACCATGAATAAGAATGTGATGCAGACTCTGTGGCATATGATACCATGGATAAAGGATTACATACTTCTCAGCTGTTTTGTAGCAGTATTCTCTAAATAGTGAAGAATCAATTAGAAAGTTAGATGACAATGTACACAAAATCACATGCAACATCTTTATCATACTGACATCAAGTTCAAGAATTTGAGCAGACTTCTCTGCATTCTGAAAAAATTTTCTAGCAGTGTTTCCATTATTTGAAGACCCAGAGCCACCAGATGTTGGCATATCTGGATTTTCTGTTTTCGTTCTTGAATAATTTTCTTTTCAGATATAGTTCTTGTAGCCCACTTTTTCACTGTCAATTTATAACTAATTTTAAGAAGACATTCCATGCTTTTAATCCAAGCATGGAGAGTTGAAAGACCGAAGCAGAGACCTATCTCTGTCAATGGCATATTTTTAGCTGCATTAAGATCATTCATTTTTTTTGGGCTGCATCCACAAACAGAACAACACTGAGAAGATGTAGTTGCTGTAGATAATGCTGTAGCAACTTTGCCGTCCACCATCGTTATTTCAATTTTATGAAGTATTGTTAAGTTTTCACAAAATGTTAAAGACAAATTTGCAATTGAATTGTTAATAAACTGATTCTCTTGTTTCAAAACTTCAATGGTTTCTTTTTTAAATGAAAATCTTATTGGTCTGCAATATAAAGTTGAAGATGGATGTGGATTAGACCAAATTATTATTTTTTTATCATTAATGAATCCAAACAACTGAAGTGGAACAAAACAAGAAATAAACAAACTAGCTTCTTCTAAAAGATCTCTGTTTTCTTTCTCAACTGTTACTTGATTATAAATCCTTTGGCTAGTTGATCCATCAAAGCCAACTTTAGAATATAAAGTCAACCTTTCAAGATCATTCATTGAATCAATAACTTGTTTCTGCAACTGTATTAGGCGTATTGCTGTATGATCGACTAATGCTTGAAAGTTTATTTCTGCTGAAAAATCATTTACAGTCCATAATGTTTTTTCAGGAAGACACTGTTCTTTAGCAGCACGAACATCATTGTAAGCAGGATAGAGATTACAACCTTTGCTCAAAGCATTATTTCTCAAGCGTTGGTAATCAGATTTGCTCATATCAATATCTAATATGAGTGCTAGAGCTTCATTTAGAGTGTTTTGAGTATGTTCTGTATCAAAAGGTTGCTTAATAGATAAACTTCGAACTACTTTTGCATCGTTTCTTCTGTTATCTTTAAAAAGATTACAACTACTAGCATACAACAGTTCATTTGATGAACAAGTTAATAAGTCCATAGCTGCTACTTTACGACTCTTTGTCTTATTTGATGAATCATCAAATAATTTTACAGGTCGACCACTAACTATAGATTCAGTTTTATTATCCTGATTTTTAAATGACTTAATAAAGTCTTTTTGAAGCCATACTGAATTATGTTTCATAAAGTTTTTATCAATTCTTTTACTTAAAGACCAACGTTTACGATACTTGGACAAAAAGGTTACAAACTGAGCATCAAATTCAGAACAGTATTTACGAATAAAATTGTAAACATAAAGTTTGTCTTTTTCATTAGACATAGATAAACCATGCTGTCTTATGAATTGATGAATTCGATATCTTGTGATGGTTGACATATTACTAATAATAATATTATTAGACTAAAATAATATAAACATTAAAAAGTTGTATTAACATATATATATATATATATATATATATATATATATATATATATATATATATATATATACTTGTTATTTTGCGACAAAAGAAACTTGAAAAAGAAACATCTTTGATTTTATAAAGTATAAGTATTAAAAAGTATTATAAGTATTAAAAAAAGTAGCAGATACTAGCAGCTAAATTAATAATTTTATAAAAACATATACATATAGCCTTCAAAATATGTATAAGAGATAAAGGCAAAATAGAGCACAAATTTTTCCTTGTTGTCTTTTCAAAAAAAATTATTAAAAAAGTCCAATTTTTACCAAAAAATATATCTAAAACTGGTTTAAAATTTTTTTTTAACTTTTTTTTTTTTATAAATTTTATATAATAACAATTATTTGATATGTTAATAAAAACAGTTAACCAATATACTAAAAATTTATTACACACTTTTGCTTTTTTAAAAACTACATTTTCTCACTTTATTGCCATTTTTTTTTTGCAAAAATTTTACTTGAAATGAGTTTTTGTTGAGAATATATATTTTTTTAATTTATTGTAATTATTTTTAAGGTCCTCAATGTATCTAAGTAAAAACTTTTTAAAAAGAATTTCAGTTTTCAGACATAAATTTTTTTAGTTTTGTCCACCTACTGGCCCACTGTGCAGCGGTTTAAAATAAAAAACATCATTGCAATTGTTACGCTATGGCTTTAAAATATATTTTCTTGTGTACTTAAATAAGTATCTCGCGTTATAAATACGCAGCGATTAGTATAGGTTTTAAAACACCTTTCGTCTGCATTTTAAGCTTTCAAATGCAGATATCTTCTAGGTCGATGGAATCCAACACCCGGTTTTCTATTTAAACAACAGAAAGATCTGAAAGACGTTATTAAATAATGAATGAATAGAAGATTATATGTAACTTTAAAAATCGGAAATTATACAAGTCTGCTATTAATTAAGATTTTCATTGTTTTTTTGCACTGCAAGTGATCGCCAATATAAACATGCTTTGGAGATTTACAAGAAAACCAAAAATAAAATTCAATCCAGCACAGGCTTTCTTTCTTTTATTTAGATCACTCATTAGTTTGTTCGTGATCTCATTAACGTCGGCAATCATTTAAGATCGTCTAGAAAACGCTGTAATTTCCGCACTGTTAATTTCATTGTGATGCCTCTTGCGTGCTGTTGGGCGCTTTTGATTGTAGGCATATTCATCCGTTTTGACCAAATACACGGCTTTCTTTTCATATTGCTCGAAATTGGAGC